AGTATATTAATGGCTGAATTGTTGGTATAATATACCAACCTCATACAATGATATCTATACAACTAATTAACTTAAAAGAGGTGGTTTGACACAACAATGAACACAATATCTTGAAACCATATACACAAACAATTAAGAATCTAAACTGATCAAAATACATAAAAACACTAAAACTAATCAAGAATAACTGAACATGCCAATTAAAGTATCTTTTAGTTAATTAAATACAATATAGGTACCAAAACTGATCGAAAGTACATTACTGTTCTGCCTATTATATTAATGGTTGAATTGTTGATATAATATACTAACCTCACACAATGAACTATTAAACTTGACAATATATACACAAACAACTAAGAACCAAAACATATCGAAATACAAAAAAAACACCAAAATCTGATGGAAAATACCAATTAAAGTATTTGTGAGTTAATTCAACACAAAATAAACACCAAAACTGATTGAAAATAGTAATTAATCTGATATCCAAAAGTGTAATAATAACATTTTACAAAGAACAACAATTCAATAACCATATTTTATAAAATTATTTCTTAACATAACATGCTCTTTTCAATCCCTCCCTTTCCAAATCAACTGACCGCCACTTTCAGTTGATTCACTTTCACTAACAATATCAGTGTCAATCTTCCTCTTTTCGTAGATCCAAAGTAATGCTTCATATCTCCAATGAAAATGTGCAGCATAAAAAATTGACGTTGAAATATTCATATCTCCTCAACAAACAAACTCTGTGAAAGCACAAGTATTCAAACCACAATCACTATAAAAAAAAATAGAGCAATAATCAGAATCCAAACATTTTATAGTACCAAACTATTAAATAAATACAATATACCTACAATGATTCATCAACAATTGTCATTGGATCTCCAACCAACAACTATAATTGATTTGTTAAGCCTAAAACTTTTTCTGGGCTTCCTCCTCAAATTTTAACCGAACTATGAAAACATAATCTTGAATGATGAACTTAAGCGGAAATTAAAAAAATGGTGCAAGTGATTAACCGATGAATATGAACAGAAGAGAGAAGGACAATGACTGAAATTTCTCTCAATGAAAATTTAGAAAAAAGTGAATTATTGGAAACATAAAAAGTTTTTACTTTACATTGATTAAATAAAAAAGGAAGAAAATAAAACAATATTTGAAAAGACAGAAACGTTTATATTAAGAACTCTAATTGAGGAGATAAGTAAGGCACATAATCCCAAAAAGAGGAGAGAAGAAAATTGCAATTAAATAATTAAATTAAAATAAAAAATTAATTAATCTTCTATGTAGGTAATTTATAAACTACGTTTGTAATTAAATAAAAGTATGTGTATATATTGTTAATAAAAGTCTTAAGTAGTATATTTTTATAATTTATACTAATTTTATTATGAGAATAAGCAACACAAGAGAATTCTTAAAGAATATTTTATTTCTTCAGTATATAACTATGTGAATTCTCAATTATTTTTTCATCATATTTTAATCGGAATGGCCATCCGATCATGCCAACTGATCTTTATTCCAGTACACTTATAGTTTACTTTTGCATGTGATTTCATCAGCATGTTTATGTGCAACAAACAAGAGGAAAAAATGGGCAATCTTTTACATAAATATTTATAACCCGCTTCGGTTGTAGTAATCTGAAGATATTAAATCTTTTCATAATTTATAGTCTCAATATTTCTTTTCAATTCATCCAAAATTAAAAAGTTTATTTTGGGACTTACTACAACCCCAATATTATTCCTCTGGTAATAACACAACTAGTTAGAGCTTGCAATTAATTTTGTGTACTATCACATATTCCTTGACACCATCCATATGGTGAACATCTCCTTCAAGGAGAAAATTATATTATTATTGTCATTGTCAAAATATTACGAGCAAGACATGTTTCTTGCTTTACTTTTATTGTACCATAGGTACACAACTAATGATAAATTTGTATTTCCACACAATAATATTATTTTGATCATGGCCACAACCTTTATAGGCAAGAATTATTTCTTTATTTTACCCTTTCGGTAGTTCACAATAAACATATCATAATATTTTTGACGTATAAACATACACGACCATTGGTTATTCCTGCCAAATATAATTTATTTATTTCTCTCAAATCTCTCGTAGAGGTGAGTTGTGGCATATCTTCAACCATACATGAATATGTTCTCATTCATATTTTGACACATTCACTTTAAAGAATAGGCAAACATTCATGATGTTTACTACAAGTCACAATCTCTTCATAAGTTGACCATAACCATTTATACATGTCATACCTTTATATTCGACATATTTATATGACCCACCTCAACATCACTTTAAAATATAAAGTGCACTATCACTTTATATTCTTTCATTTACAAACTTATCAAATTAGGTCGCACGATAACCGCGTGTCCAATGACCTTTTATACCATTTTGATGATAAAATTATTTTCACAATTTGAAGGACTATTTGAAAAACTCATATTATTCTTCCTTTTATAATTACCACAATGATAACTATTATAATTATGTCCCTCCACGCCCTTATTCATACATTCAATCATTTGTCCTCTTTCAGACTTATTATTCATCTCTACCACATTCATACGATAGAATGGAGCAAATCAACTAGCGGGTTTAAAAGTTATCACACATTGCTACCACATTCTTTTCAAGGAATGGAGAAAATTCAATGGGACGAATTTCAAGACTTTTCATCAAAAATATATTATTTTTGCCTTAGTCATCATTTTATCATCAATATGGTACATTGAGACTCAAACTTAATGTCTTATCCATATAAGGTACGTTAGGTCATGATTCTATGAGATTAGAACCCAATTTCTAATCATCATAGTGCATCAAAACTCAAATTGATGTCTTACCCTCTTGGTGCGATAAACTTGAATCTACCGTCATATCCTCAAACATTTTTTCATTATGTTCATCCGGACTTTACCTGATGTCTTACCTTTTTGGTGCGATGAGACTTGAATCCATCGTCTTACCCTTCAATCAATATCATATATTTCAGTCCAAAAATGAATCAATTTGTGACCAACTCTCCTTACCTTAGGAAGTGCAATAGACCAATCTCAAACTCTTTAAAAGTATTACTGCTCAAGAATTATATACATAAGAAAACATAAGTCCCAATGAAATCTTGATCCAACATGCTTGGACAGTAATATAACAAACATTGCTTCTATCTTTTAGTGATAACTTTTTCTTTCTCCAAACCTTAATACCATTACAGTGACAATCAAAGTGAAAGAAAAGTAGCACATTGTTCAGAGGTAATTTTCCAAACCTAACAATCAGAAAACAGTCTTAAAATAAAAAGGCTATGTAATATCGATATTCATACATAATAATTGAATAAATAACCAATGATAGATTAGAGCAATTAATAATAGCACTTTGATTTATTTATTTTTCTCTTCAAGATACCTGTTACTGATTACCTGTTTTTGTGATACTTACCAACATCATTTAGCTCAAAATTTCGGAGGAGTGGTTGGCTTAAAACGAGAATATTTGTACTGATAACGTGTTATTAAATCAAGCTCAGAATAATATAATTATAGAGAGAAAAATGCAAGAAATGTAGATAGAAGAGAGAACTTTTCTTCTTATTCAAGTGTGTATTCCAAATGGTGAGTGATATCTCTATTTATAGTGTTGAGATATCACTCCCAAAGGTCACCAAACTAGTAGATACATAGTTATCCCTTAAGGTTCTTATCACCTTGGAAGCACTCATACATGAATCCAATTAATTTTTGAATAAATCTAATGGATAATCCACACAATGCAATGGATTTATAATACATTTATAATTTTTCATTTTATTAGTTTATTTATTTATTTTCAACAAAATTAAGATAGATTTATTATTTTTATTTAATAATAATTTTTTCATTAAAAAACTTTATAAAGTAATGATAGTTAAGTTAAAATTTTAAAAATATAATTAATAAATTTGATTAGTCTTGTAAAAATCAATACTATAATCCTTTTTATGATAGAATAAAGTAAAATTCATTGGAAGCAAAAGAATATAAAAATAAAATAATTTTGTATAAGAAGAATTATATAAGTTAAAACTAGTCTGGCAATGCATTGTGGTTTGTGAGCGGATAGTGGGGTTGCTATTAGAGTGATGGTACATACTACATAGCAATAGCTTCAAGGTAAGGATCTTCTACTTTCAATTCTTTGTTTCTAGCTATGGTAAAGAGTTGTATTACCATTTACCAACGACTTATAATCGCAATTCCTTAGCTTGTAGTAGAGAGGAGTGTGCGGGCATAACTCTTTGTAGAGATGTGATAACTAGTAAAATGTATGTTAAGGCAATTCCCTTTAGTTGAACACATTGTTAGTAAAAGGTACATCGTTTCAGAAGCTAATATGGCATCCTTTTCCGCATCTCATAACATTCTCAAATTAAAGTTTGACTTAATGGCAGGTAAGGGTACAAGTGCTTGCTCATTAATGCTAGACAAACATGGATAAGCTAAGTAATCTTCAATGACACAAATCTTCTTTCCATCTCAAACCATCATATCATAGAATCTCCTTTCCGTCGTATCTATGTAAATCACAAATCAACCCAATACCTTACTAAAATCTCTCTTTCCAGCAGATTTGGTGTATCTCTTTCGAGCAAACTATTGAAATCAAAACTAAATGGCAAGCATTTAGCTATTTACTCACTTCAATTGATCTTAGAGCTTCAATATAAGATCTAGGTTAGGCTTAAGTTGACCACCTGAACTCATAAGTTGACTCCATGCTAAATAACTCAAATTCATGGATGAACAACAGTAAAACAGAGCAAGACACAAGACCCACTAAATTAAATCAACACCCAACCCCATAATCACACCTCTAGATTTGGGGTTTTAACCAAGCATCATAAAAGGAAGAGAAGTTATACCAATGATGTTTTCGGCCATTAACGTGTTGATGATAAACAATAATTTCAACACCCACATCAAATTCAACCCTCAAATGTCAATTACAAGAGTGTTCCAACCCCAAAACTAAGAGAAAGGTAGAAAAAGTCAATTTCTTAATCTCCTAAATTAGAATCAGTAAAAAGTGTAGTATCAAGATTAGAATCGTCATCTATTTTCTCTCCTTTGGGATATTTATAATTTTCCCAAAATTTAATCCGAAATTCCATGTGTGACCTATTCGGCGACATTAGTCGGCCTCGCCGAACACGATTGGCGAATCGTTGTTCTATTCTTCAGGTCGCCTTTTCTTGACTTCAGGCTTCAAGTGTTTGAACCTCTGTCGGCGAACTCAATTGAGTCAGCCTTTTCACATTGGGCGAATCGCCGATTTCCACCTTGTTCACCTAGTTTAGCCCTTATTTTGGCTCAGCAATCTGTCACTTCCGGCGATGAAATGTGCTTGCCTTTTCACATTCGGTGGATCACAAAGTTATTCTTACTTCGCCGACTTGGTTTGGTACTTTATCATTGAACACTGTCAATTTTGGCAGAGATCATGCTATTTGGCGATCCGCCCTTTGAGTTAGGCGATCCTTGGCTGGAATTTTACACTATTTTCAATGTTTTTGGCCTATTTTTTATAGATTCATCCTCGCCTTGTCCTTTAGCCTTCATGGCTACAAAACATCATAATATCATTATATGAGGACATAAATAGGCATTGAGGGCACTAATTGTTGAACTAAAAGGAGTTTGAATGAGTGGAAATCTACCACTCATCAAATATCGAATTTCAACATCTGATAAAATTCTACTTACATAATATACCGGAGATTGCATACATTCTTATTCTCAAATCAAGATGGCACTAATCACGACTTGGAACATGGCCAAGTATAACAAAAGTTGCTCCTCGTTTATTGTCTTTGAGAATAGGGGAGGATTTCAACATAGTTTTTAAGGTCCCTCAAGGGCCAAGGCCTATTGGCATTTTGGTGTCCATCAAAGTTATTCTTTTTTAAAAGAGAAAAACTGGGACTTGGGGTGCTATTCCAAAAACCTTGATATGAACCTACCCGGAGCTGTCAGCCCACCAATCAGTCTTTGCATCGCCTTCGTATCTGTGAGAACATTTGGTATCTCCTCAATGGCTTTGATCTTATCCGATTTCACCTAGATTCCCTTGTTCGAAACAAGGAAACTAAGAAACTTACTAAAGCCAACTTTTAAAAACGCTTATCTCTGGGTTGAGCCTCCTATTGTACTTCCTTAAAATGCCAAAGGCCTAAGGTAAGGTTCTTCCTCCATGTGTTTGTCCACTATTAGGAAATTTTAGAGAGAGGGAATGAAAAAATAATTAAATCAAGAGATAAAATGAGTCTACCAAATGTGCCTGTTATAAAGTAGATGACTATAACGATAAGCAGTAAATAAATGTATACTCGAAATATTTAACCAGTTCACACCAATAACTGGATGATTGTCAAATTTAGAGAGAGAATGAGAGGATAAATATTGGAGACAAAAAAATGAAGATACATGGTATTTAGAGTTTAAATTAGGATGAAAATGTAATTTAATAAACTTGAGGATTAAAATAAAAAATTAAGGAGGCAGGGGCTGTTTTGGCAGTTGGCAATAGCTATTTTGTCAAAATAAGTCATTGGCAAACCACTAACAAAATAGTATAAATAAAAGAAAATCCAGCAAGACCATGTGATCCGGGACAAAAAATTTAGTCTCGCCCCGTCTCTGGCCTCTCTTGCCTCTCTTAACCACCATTACCACCACCCTTTACCTCAGATCAGGACGGTCAGTCCAGCCCATGAGACAATCTTACACTTTATTAACAATTCCAACATCTTTCATTTTTTACTCTCTTCATTATGGTCATGTTAAATTCTAGCGATCGTCATGGTGACAATTGTGGTAATGCTGGTGAATAATAGTTCAATTCCTATGGCCTCCATGGAAATCTAAATAATCAAAGTCAGCCTTCTCACCAGGAAGGAAGTACCATACTGTTACCATGTTGCATTAGTTTCAAGTTTCAACCACTGGGAATTATAATATAGCTCCCCACTTCCCAACCCTAACAAAGTTTAGTATTGTTTTTACAAGGTCTAAATATCCTTTTGCAGCTCCCTTCCGCATCAAACACCATACCAAACAACGAACAATTTTTTTTTATATACAAATACTGACTGCATTCTTCAATTGTTGCTTCTCACTTATACTCAAAAAATGAAACATTACTGGTCAAGTACCTTTGGCGAGCAAATCCAATCACCTAGTACATTCATCCACTCTTCAAGGGTAAAATATCACATGGAATTGAGAAACTCACCTAGTCTAAAAAAAAAACGCCTTAAGCAACCATCTTTACCAAGAGACTCCAACAAATCTGAACACATGGTTACTTTCACAACCTGGATGATAGTGGGGTGACGTCGAATTCCGAGAGAATATTATGAAATTTCAAGCAACCCATTGTCATTTTCTAGTGAGAGGGTATAGATAGGTCAACAAGATAACAACAAATAACCAAAAAGATTGGCTATGTCGTGAAATAGAAGAAAGGAATGGATTAAGTAATGACTTCGGGGATGATGATCAACATTGGGAAAAAAACTATTCAATCAATCTTCATTTTGGGATGAGCAGCAGTGATAGGCCCTTTAATTTTGAACCTTATTGCTAAGGGTGTGTTCAATATGAAGTTCTCCAATTTTCCTATGTTCGGTGGGTCAATATTTCTTAAAACATTTCTCTAGGAGAACAAGTTCCTTAAAAATGAAAAGACAAAAAAATGACTTCCCTAGAGGAAATAGGAAAGCAAGTTTCACAAGTGACATTCCACATCAATACCTACACAAGGATATCTGGAGCAGCATTGAAATGATGCGCATACTACACAGCTCACAAGAACAATTAATTATTGATTGACCTGCAAAAGGATATCTGGAGCAGCATGGAAATGATGCACATATGACACAGCTCACAAAAACAATTATTGATTGACCTACACAAGGATATCTGGAGCAGCATGGAAATGATGCGCATACGACACAGCTCACAAGAACAATTAACTAGCTCAGTACTAGGGTAAAACAAAACATTCGGAATAGGAAAACAGACTCAACAACGGCTTCTCCCACCACTCCAGTTTGGATTGAAAGGTGACACTGAATAAATTGAAGCTATCATTCCAGAAAACTATTTAACCTATTATGATACAAGATATCAGTTCAACATTCATCCAATTTTATTATATTTGTGGGATTAAATTGGATTTGTTGTTGTTGTCCAATTTTATGAAATTATGTATTTCCTTTCAACAGATAAGATATATATACTCTCTTTGCACCTTTCCGATGTGGATAAGAAAAGAAGACCCCATGCAATAACAAACATGGCACAATAATCTGACAGCCGTTATTACGTCTCTTCTCAGACATCAAAACGGATTTCATACTACATTCACCTGAATAAAACCAAAAGATGCAGATGTTCTCCCTTTGCCTCTCCCCCAGGCTGGATTATCTCTCTTCCCCATTGTCCATCGAAGCATAAAAAGTTTTACCTTCTTTACATGGCCCCTTCCACTCCTCTAGAATCCTAGAGAAAACCTTTTTGCTTATGTTAACTTCCTTTACATATCCCTTCCAATCTAGAATCCTTGAGAAAACCTTTATGCTCATGTTTATGATACTAAACAATTTAAGCTTCTTCCAAATGATATGGGAGGTAAAGGGAAGGATGCACCTCGGATAAAAACAAAAGATCTAGTTGTTCACCCTTTATTTCCCCAGGTTCTATAATGCTTCGGACTCTTCAAAAATGTCAACAGGTGCATGTCGGATTCTCCAAAAGTAGGATATTTTTGGAGAATCCGACACAGGTTCGGCATCAAAAGTGAAGAGTTTGCGCAACTTAGCCCTAGTTTTCTCTCATCCCCTTTGTCCACTAAAGCATAAAAGTCTTCACTGGTTACCTTCCCTTCCATTCCTCCTCTTGAATCCTTGAGAAAACCTTTATGTTTATGATATTAAACAATTTAGTGGCTTCAGAATTATATGAGAGGTAAACAGAAGGTTACACCTCAGATAAAAGTCAGATCCACATTGAACTCATTGCATATGGTATAAACAATGCAAGAAGTTATCCTGATATACACGAGCACACACCTACATGCATGGAATAATTTGATAACCAGGCGGACAGCATTAAAAGATTGGCATAACATATAAAACTATACCTTTGTGAACAATCAAAAAAGAATGAAGATAATCTCTACGAGGTTCTAAAGCAGGGCTGGGGGGGTGGGAGTGGGTTCACTTCTACAGTTCTATATGGATTTCATGTACAGTACAATGAACCAGTTTTGTCTCAACTGCTGATACAAACACTTACAAAAATGAACAGGAACTCAGATCATCATGAAAAGCAAAACACATTCTGGAGAGGAATTCAAGCTGCCAACACAGAAAGTAAATCAGCATACAATACCATGAGACCTAAATGAGATTTATGTTATATTTATGGGTAAATACTCCAGCCATTTGGGCACTCTACTATCTAAGGCAGCCAATTTAGGATGGTAACACATCACCTGCATTGGAGACCCATGTATGGAGTTGCCAAGTCTGCTCAACGAGGTCATCTAGTGAAAAATATAATGATCTACCAATTAACAAGAAAGGCAACTTAGAAATAAGAAAAATTATGAATAATCGGATCAGTTATTGAACTGAACCTGGTATTCTTCCAAGTGTAACATCACTTAAATATGTCTTTCAAGCAAAACAGTCTAAAAAAAACAATTTTGTATATTCATAAAGGACCAAAAAATAAGAACTTGTGTCAAGGCTATAATGAGCCACCAAAAGAATATTTCCAGTGGATTAGGAAACAAACACATTCCCAGGAAAGGGAAGACAATTATTACCAGAAGGTTTAGCAGGTATGTCAGCATAAAGTTGAAGTCAACACACTAGCTCAGGAAACCCTCTTTTATGCAATTCAGCTGCCAGAGGTAAAGATAGACTACATTAAATATGCATAAACAACACATCGACGATAAATATTCAGTTCTAGATTGATAAAGCAAGCTGAAAGAAAAGGACTATTAGGACAAGAATGACAGCTTAATAATGTCCAAAAGAAGCAACAATCTTAATGACTGACACCCTTTTTTGCTCTAAGAGACTCGAGAGCCTTCTCCCGTAGCTCAATCTCAAGTCTTTTCTGCAAGGACTCTGACTCCTCAATCTCACGTCCATGTTGACCCTCTTTCCTCAGATGTTCATCATCAGAAGCATGATTATCAGGATTCCTATCTGTATCTGAAGGCGAGGATATGGCATTAGCTGACTTCGATTTTAGTTTCTGGGAACGTCTTTCTTCCTTTCTGCGCCGCCTCTCCTCCCGCCGGCGACGCTTCTCCTCTTTCTTCAATCTTCTCTCCTCTTTCCTTCTCTTTTTAGCCTCCTTCCTATCCTCAACATCAGAATCAGAACTATCATCTGACGTTGACTCATATCTGTCAGACCTCTTATGCTTTCTTTTATCCTTAATTTTAGCTCTACGCTTTTCACTTTCCTCGAAACCAGAACCCTCATTACTACTTAAATCATTCTGCTCAACTTTCTTTGATGAAGTGAGGGGAGCTTCGGACTCAACATGTAGCTCTTTGCCCTTGGTATCGTTTGTGTGAGACAGGTTTTCCTTATCTGCTTTGACACTCTCCCCATCATATGATTCCTTTAACCTTTTAACTGAATGAGAGTGTCTATGAGTTGATGGTGACTTTTGTTTATCCAGTTCCTTTGTGTGCTCCATAGTTCCTGAAAATTTTTCACTGCAAATAAACACAAGCATTATGTCAGAATATAGGCTGAGCCTTTTTTACTAGCTGAACATAAAAACATGCAGGAATATTCATTTAAAGCTTGCCAAAATGCAGAAAAGCAATTGTAAACAAACCTCTTAATCGCTTCATTTCGCTTTCTCGACTCCAATCGATCTGAACGGCTATGAATGTCTGAAAATTCTTTCTCGACAAACCCCTTCCCAAGATCTTTATATGGATCGGGTGTTGTGGGAATTTTTCTTGAAGACCTAGGTTTATGCTCAAAAGCCTCCCTGAACCACAACAATCCAGCAAAAAAAAGGAAAAAAATAAATATTACTCGAAAATATCCATGGATGAGATAACTTCTTAGATTCTCAATGATGCATTTTTCATTACTAACCTTGAATGGTTCATTTCTTTCTGATCTGTGATTTTCTCAGAAATGTCAGAACTAACTTTCTGCTCTCTCAATTTACTTGGACTAAGGCTGTCGAAGTCACTTGTCTTTATCTCCCTCCGGTTCAAAGTACTCCTTGGCCTATAGTAATTACATTAAAACATTTAAGATTGAAAAAACAAATTCATGAAGCACTAGCAAAACTACAGTATTATTAAGGAAATCATATACCCTCTATCTTCACTAGGACTCCTTCCCCTTTTGGTTGGTGGAGATTCTGAGTCAGATCTAGAGCGACGTGGAGATTCTGGAACAGATGGTGACCGGCTTAGCTGAGGCGGCAAAGGCAGCTCTTTTTCTCGTGAATCCTTACGGTCATATATCCTCTTCTGTGGTGACCCAGAAGAAGTAGGACGTCTACGTTCCAAAGATCTGGATCCTTTATGGGCCTCAGTTTTTACTGGTGAAGCATATCGAACAGAGGAGTATTTCTCACGGCTCCTATATAATATTGTATTAGTATCAAATCAAGCATAGCAAGATATAGGAACTCCAGGCATCAAAAAATTGTGCACTCCAACTATGAGGCAAAGCAATCCAGTATTTTCAACGATCAGAGACAACACAAGACAAGCTTGAGCATACAAGGCAGATAACAACACTGGGCAAGCTAGCGCAACAAGAAGCATCAATAACAAATCTCTAAGAAAGATGACAGTTGATATGTGTCACTACCTTATCCTTCCTCGAAGAGATTGAACTGGTGACCTTTCATTCTTCGATATTCTCTTTCTGATTGGTGAAGGAGACCTGCGGTAAATGGGTGATGGGGAAAGTGATTCTTGAGATGAAAGAAACCTTCTGGCAGGGGTTAAGGATCTCTTCCTACCAGAAATGGAGGGTTTTCGTTGAACTAGGAATGGAGAACTTTGCCGAGGACTCAATGGAGATCGGTGGTACCCCCGACTCACTGGAGAAGGGGACCTACGTTGCGTTGGAGATGGTGTTCTGCGTCGAAGTGGTGATCGACGTTTAATAGGTGACCTTGATATGTATCGCACTGGTGAGCGTCTACTTGGAGACCTTGACCTACACCATATAGGGGATCGTGATCTACGCCAAATGGGAGACCTCGACCTATGTCGAAGCGGAGACCTTGATCTACGTCGAAGCGGAGACCTTGATCTACGTCGGAATGGAGAATGTCTTCGGTATCTTGCAGGAGAAGGTGACCTTCGACGTACTCGAGAGGTTGATCTTCGCCTATGCCTTGGTGGAGAATGGGATTGTCGAGGTGAATGTTTCCTACGAGGTGAAACAGAACACTTTGGTGCAGAGCGATATGCCCTTTCAGATGAAACAGAGCGACATCTCCTTTCTTCTAGAGATCCGGATGTACTTCGTGACCTGTGCCTTTCACTTTAAAAGATATCACTTAACAAACAATCATCAAGTAAGTGAAAGCAAAAGTAAAAGTAGAAAGCACATACAATCAATTACGAACAAAAGGGAGAAATTCAAAAAAATAAAGGAGCTTAATGGAGAAAATACCCAGAGTAACTCCTCGAATTGGAGAATGACTTGCTGATTGACCTTGATTTCCTGCACAATACCCAAGGAGTTCAACTAATGCTATTCTATGGGTAGGAAGCCACAAGTACAAAAATTTATACCTGGGGGAGAGTGAATGATCTGCTGACCGTGGGGATTTAGAGACCCTGCACGACACAAAGGATGTTGAGGATGAAATGAACCACACAGAGCAGGGAAGTGAGCAGATAAACTTTGAAGATAAAAAGAGCTAAACAGAGGAAACAACCCCTCCCTTGGGGATTCTACATAATAAAGACCACATCCCTCCCTCAACTGCTTCTAACTTTGCTCCATCCAAAACAATGCCTTTACCCATACCTCAACCTCCCCCAGACCAGGTTATCTTTGTATTTACCAGCATTAACTTTTATAGGGATATAAACTTCATTACTACTCTCCATGTTCCTATTTATATGCCCTCTCCGTTTCATATAATTCAAACACTTCTGTCCATTGTATAGATAGGTAAAATGCACCCTGACTGACATAGAGTGTTCCCTCCACACGAAAGTAGGGTCACTGATCCATGCAGATCAAAGGGTAAAAACTTATCATTATTAGCGTGAACGACAATTACCCGCATGTTTTTGCACCTCAGCATTTGTAAAGGATGTGCATTTAGAATTACCCCGTGGATCTCAGGATTTCACCCCCTATACAGAATTGCACTCTACTTTCTTATCTTTTTTGATGAAACAAGTTGTTTTATTGAAATGGCATCAACGAGATGCATGAAAGATTACAAATCAAATGGTTAACTCCAAACAATGCAAAAAAAAACAAGTAAGAGCTGGGAGTTAATAACCGAAAGCCAAAAGCTGAGGCTGCTAAGACACTGAGAGGGAAATGATAAAATCTAGAAGGGGGATCATTTCAGAGGGAAGGTTGCTCCAGCTATAAAGATTCAACAAACACTTAGATCTAAGAGACCAATTGGGAGTTGAAGTCCCATCATGACATCTGTTGTTTCTTTCTGCACATAAACACCAAAAATACAAGCTGGGATCATCTGCCAGATCATCTTGATGGTCTTGTTCACTTTCCATGAACTCCGACTTCAACTGCTTGTTTTAGGTTGAGGGGGGTTGTCCAGCTATTTCCAAAAATATAGTCCAAAGGTCAGGTGCCACAGAGAAATGCAATAGCAAGTGGTTTACAGTCTCTAAGTTGTTTTGGCACATAAAACACATGTTCACCACTGGAATGCCTCTTTTTCTCAGGTTGTCCTAGGTTAAGATGGCATTATGAAGGGCTGTTCAAAAGAAACCCTTAACTTTTGGGGGGAGTTTTGTATTCCAGACCAGCTTCCAGGGCCAAGGTGTCGTCATTCCATTTACTCTATCTCACTTAAGTAAAGAGGTTAGCACTCCACCCCCACTTTTTAGCAACTCCCTTTTCCAATATGAATGACCACTTGTGTGCCTTTACACTACTCATTCAGAAGTCCAACTTGACAGCTGCATTTTTGCAGCATGGTGGACATAGTGTGCTACTTAATTCTATGGGACATAAATCTTATCTTTTATCTAATTAATAGAAAGTGCCCAAGGTTATACTAAAGGACTTCAGGTAAATAGAATCTACAAATTACTCAATCCATGGTGTAACTGCAGATTATCATCACCATTTGAGTTGCTAAGAAAAATTGTTTCATTCTTTGCCCATATTTTATTGGGTCTCCTAAAGGCTGGGAGTTGAGACTAACAGTGAACAGCCAAATATGCAGATGTGCCAGTAGATTTCGGCAATATGAGAGAGTACAAGTCACAAGAAAGCTGTAAGACAGAAATAAGTAAATTAGTAATGTCAAGTCCTAGCTTGCCCTTTTTCATTTGGGTGGGGGCAGCTTACTTTCGGTCTCATTCAAGACCTGATCAAGGAATTTCCCTTTTTTAATTTTTGGTATCCCCGTTCTTGGTGTCCTCTTCTTTTTTTCTCTTTGAACTATTTTATTATCACCTGGTTTGCTATCTAGTTCTTCACTGGTCTACAATGTCGCCTATAATTGAATGTTGAAGAATTGAAGTTCATAAGCATTGACATTTAGCATATGCAATAAAATCTTTATCAACCTTGAACAATGAATTTTGTGTTCACTTCTAATTCTAAAATGGAATTTAAGTGCTCTTTATTAATAGTAGCCCAACTGTAACCTATGTGACTGGACACGATAACCTCTCAACTGCCGATTATGTGTCCAGGGTCTCAGTGGCTAATTCCAAGGCTCCACTTCAATAAATTATTGTTTCTTTAAAAAAAGAACTAGTTGAAATCCTGACCTGTTTCTTACTCTTGATCCGTTTCTCTCAACAGGATCTAAATCATCCATCAAGCGCACTTGAAGCTGTTGTTTTGGAGTTGGCTCCCGTGAAGCATTTTTCTGTCTCAAATTGCTGTCATAATCATCCTACAGAAGAGTGAGGTAAAGATATGAACCTAAATAATTGCGGAAGCAGGCTGATACCACAAAATACAAACAAAGAAACCCCCAACTTTAGATTGAAAAAACTCTTTCACACAATTTTAGTTACCATCTTCTTCCTTTTCTCTTGATCCAGCTCCCTGTTCTCTCTCTCCTTTTTCTTCTGAATCTCGTTTGCAATTCGATCCATCTCAGCCTAGAACAAAAGGATGGAAGAAAGATTATCAGCAAGAAGTAGTGAAAGAGCACTGTGGAAGCGAAAAACAGCAAGAAATACCTTCTTGTTTCTCATTTCCTCTTCTTTGGCTTCTAGGAACTGTTGAGGAACACCACTGGCATTGTTCTGTGCACTAAGTAGTAATGCCCAAAGCTCTTTCATGAATTTTCCAGTGTTTCTTTCCATGAATCCAGTAAGTGAAATTTGAAGCTCCTTGCCATTAGCTACCTGAAATGGCAGCATTGTTTTTGTAAGCGTAAGTTAATGAAATGAAAGAAAAAAAAGTAGAGAATTACCTTTCGTTCAAGAAGGCTATAAATAAAATTGATAAGCACTTCATCTTCGAAACCAATAAGCTCAGTAACTCGCTTAGCAATCCATGGTTTCATTACATCCATCTTGACCTTTGTCATGTCCACCTATCAAATTCACATAATAATCAAATAGATAGACCGGGGTATTTGTATTCTAGGGTCCAGAAATCGAAAACTTTCCACATGTGCACCTAAACACATAATTTCAAAACTAAGAGGGAGGACTGGACTAGCCAAAGGGAACACAGAAGAAAAAATGCATATCTTATATGAATGGACGAACCAGATGTTCCAATTCAGGAGCGAACTTCTGAGATTTTAACAACTTAGCTTGCTTATTAGAGAAGCGAGTGTCCTGCTCAGCAGAAGTCCCCTAAACAAACAAACAAACACTTCCAATGAATCACCGGAGCAGAGTAGAGCTTCGATCTAAAACAAATTTCAGAATCAACAACAAAAATTACCCTAAAAAAACCGCCCGACATGTTTTAGGGTTTCCTCAGATACTCTGATTGCAAGTTGGAACGCTTAGTTTTTTATTTGGAAGGGATATAGCTCCAATCTTTTTACGACATGAGACCACCAAAAAGATGCATCACCCGCTCTAGGGACGGACGGACCTGCGGCGTACCCTAAGCTTCTAATAACATCAATCTTTTTTTGGAAAAAAAAAACATTAATATCTCACATTTATATATCATAAATAAGAAGAAAAAAAATTCATTCACTACATACTACTTGTACAAGTAAGAATTTTGCCAAAAAAACATGTAAGGACTTATAACTTGTCCTATATATTGATTGTACAATAAATTAGTTTATCACTCGAAAAAGTTGTATATTTACATTATTTCATTAATTTTTAAAATCATCAGTGTTTTTACTTAAGTTTCTTCTAAAATCTCTAACTCGAAAGATATATGAGCTTCTCTTTGAATTTCTTTTTGATGTCCTACTTGTAATGATTTTCACATATCAATATGATAGATTTCACAACACGTTAGTTATTCTAAATTTAGGAGAAAAGTTCTCCAATAAACTGAGAATATCAAGCGATTTTGCTGGAATATCTTTGAGTGATGGTCTTCTGATTCTGATTAACATTATTTTGTGTGTTACTTGAAATATAACTTTATTTATTGAAATTACGTTCCTCTTATGTTTGCTATGATTTCTCATCTTTCATATTATAATACAAGAAATAACATGAAAATATGACTTCATGCTAGACCTCACTAGGTGTTGCACCAACGTGAGAATAATTTCCTTTAGGTGAAGTCCTTTTAAGGTAAACTTGGAAAAGAAAAAAAGGGTCAAGTACTATTAGTTGTTAGGGATTGAACAACCGATAAGACATGGCTTCTTGGACAAAATTGGTGCAACATTAACATCTAGATATTAATGCGCATCTCTATCTACTGATTTTGAGCTTTCAAATCCTCACATAAAGAAAGATATTTAAAAGAGCAATTAGTTGATTCACCTATATTTAAAGATATTGTTTGGTTGGTATTATATGTTTGATATAATTCCATGTGAATTTTATTGCGTATTTTCCTTGTGCGTTCAACATCCATCACGAATTATCCATCTCATCAATGTATATTGGAGGTGTATTCACTTCATTAATGTGTTTGTTGTTTCATCTGGCAAATTACTATGAAATGCACTTTCATTCCACTTGTTTTCAATTACTATGTCAGCTACACTTTATATTAGTTCATTGCATATAAAATTTGCAAACTTTCATATCATAGTTGATGATCTTATCCGGATTAACCTACTTGTTAATAATTAATTTGTGATAGAAGATTTTTTTCTCTGCTTGAAACCCTACAGCCGTCATCATCAATCTGCATAGATCCAGTTACCATGGCCGCCACGGCCACAGGTCAACCTCCTACAGAGGTAGGCCAGCTTCATGGAGGCACGTATGCTGAAAAATTAAAACCAAAAACAACCCATATTAAACCCATTCCGTTAAAACCAATTACATATTTGCATGGAGAACCACAAGTGATATGGGAAGAAGAAGAGGTGGAACAAATGATTGTAAATGAGAATCTTGAATATGCGGTGATTGGAAAGTTTTCGTACGGATGGCCAGAAATACAAGATCTAAGAAAACTCATTACAAAACAATGTGAGCTGAAGGGAGATTGTAATATAGGGCTTTTGAGTAATAGACATGTTCTGATCAGGGCAACATTATTGGAGGATTATGTTCATCTGTTATCTAAGCCTGCCTTCTATATTACTCAAAATAATTGGTTTTTTCCAATGAGAACCTTGAAATGGGATCTGTTGTTTAATCCGGAATAGGAGACAACCACTGCGATAGCTTGGATTTCTTTTCCTTCTCTTCCACCAATTTTTTTTGGCAAAGAGGCAGTATTTTCATTAGCAGTGGCTGTAGGCAAACCATTACAAGTTGATATGGCAACAAGGAATCAGACGAGACCTAGTTGTGCACGTGTTAAAGTGGAGGTAGACTTGTTAAGAGAGTTCCCAAAAAGAATTAAAATTGGTATGAGGATGAAGACTGATGAGGTGGTGAAAAAGTGGGTGAAAATCAAATACGATTATGTTCCCAAATACTGTCAGACTTGTATGATCCAAGGGCATGATGAAGAACAATGCTATGTTGTTCACCCTGATTTGCATCCAAATAGGGAGAAATCAGAATACGATGAAGGCAAGAAGGTGGAAGGCAAGAAGGTGGAAGGCAAGCACAACAGAAATAAAAACATAGATAATGACACAAAGGGGAAGGAAAGTGAACAACATCACGGGAGAAAAGAAGAATTCGTGGAACAAAAACATAGAAAATGGGGGGGAGCTGGAAGAAATAAGAAACCTGCGAAAGTGTGGAACAAAGTGGGAATTGCAACAGGGAACAAGTTTAACTTGTTGGATTCAGGGAACCTGGTTCGAGGGGAAGATCAGATAGTGGAGAGGGTGAATGAAACAGCGGCAGAACAGAAGAGTGTACAGTCCAAAGTAAATTCCCCTGGGAGGCAAAATAGTAATAACAAAGAACTGGAGGAAAATACTTCTAACAAAGGAATGGACAATACCGAGAGAAGAAGTACACCACATAACAAACACAAATTAGGAGTGGATTGCGGCAGCATCACAAAACATGTGGAGACTTAATCTAAAGATTTACATGAGGTGCATAATGAGGAATTGTTGTTGAAAAGTGGTGAGGAAGGGAGTAGTTATATGGCAATAAGAGATAGTGTTACCACACCAAGGAGATTATTTGAAACAAGTATAGGAGAGATAAGGATTAATCAAGGTGAAGATGCAGTCATTCCAAAAGGACCAGATTTAATAGATGAAGAGGAAGAAGTACTGCAACAGAGAAAAGATACTGAAGAAGACGAGGATATAAAATTTAATATACAGCAGATCAGTAAGGTCAGAGATCTGTCACCAAGGCACACTAACAGTCTGAAAAATGGTGCAAGAAAAATGAGACCTTTTATTCCATTACAAGTACAAACAAGGAGCAGTAGGGATAGGGGCACCAACAGTGATCAATGATTGAAAAAATGATCTTTTGGAATATCAGGTCCGTCAATACTCAAAAGTCTTTTGAGAGATTAATGGACTTGAATAGAAGACATCATTATGCATTTATAGCCTTGATGGAGCCTTTTCAGAATCCATCAGTGCTAGAACAATATAAAATGAAACTAGGTTTTGACAAGACGACAGCAAATTGTAATGACAAAATCTGGTACTTTTGGCAAGATGAGTGGATGAGCAGTATATTGTTGGACACCATTCAACAAGTTACTATCCAATTCAAACACAACAATAAGGAGTTTATTATATTGGTTGTGTATGCAAGGTGCAATGCTTTAGAGAGACTGGAGTTGTGGGAGGAGTTAGAGAGTATAGCGAAGAGAGTGCAATGTCCTTGGATTATTGGGGGAGATTTTAATGTCATTTTAAATGAGGAGGAAAAGCTGGGAGGTTTAGAATTTTCTCCCAATGAAGCCATCGATTTTGCAGCTTTTATTAGTAGTGGTGCACTTTCTAAAGTGCGATGGTTGGGCAGTAAATTTACTTGGTGGAATGGAAGAATTGAGGAGGCGTGCATCTTCAAAAGATTGGATAGAATATTGGTGAATCAAGCTTTTCTGGATGTTTTTCCTTCTTCTGAGGTCCATCATCTAGTCAGACAAGGGTCTGATCATGCACCGCTCCATATGATATGTAACTCAGAAGAGGAACCTATTATCAAACCTTTCAGATTTCTAAACTTTTGGAGTAGACATAAACAGTTCAAGAATATAGTAAAGGAGAATTGGAATGTTGATTTTGCTGGAAATCCATTTATCGAATTCCATGCAAAATTGAAAAAGGTCAAGAAAGCGCTGTCAATTTGGAGTAAAGAGGTGTTTGGTGATATTTTTCAACAAATTGCTACGATTGAGGACATCATTAAGGTGAAAGAGGCGCAGTTGGAGATACAACCTTCAGCAACTAATAGAGCTGAACTAAGCAAGGTGGAAGCGAAATTAAAAAAATTCTTGAATTTGGAGGAGGATTTTTGGAGACAAAAAGCGGGAATGAAGTGGTTCATGGATGGAGACAAGAATACTAAATTTTTCCACTCATATGTTAAGGGTAGAAGAAAGAAATTACACATGGCTGAGATGATCACAGAGCAAGGGGTGACACTGACTACTAATGATGAAATTGGGGAGGCATCAGTTCAATTTTATAAGGATCAATTTTCTGAAGAGAGAAGAGTAGAGGAATATTCAATGCTGGAACATATTCCTAAGTGCATAACCAATATAGAAATTCAAGTAATGACAACGCTTCCTGATCAAGATGAAGTTAAAAAAGTGGTTTTTGAGCTAAATGGAAGCAGCGCATGTGGGCCAGATGGTTTTACTGGTCATTTCTTTCAAAGCTGTTGGGAGATAATTGGAGAAGATATTGCCAAAGTGGTGAGGGCTTTCTTTTGTGGCCAAGAGCTACCCAAGTTTGTAACTCATACAAACTTGGTGTTGTTACCCAAAAAGGTATCAGCAAAGCATTTCACTGATTTAAGACCCATAAGTCTTAGTTCCTTTATAAATAAAGTTATATCCAGAATGGTTCATGAGAGAATGGTAATGGTGCTACCTAATCTTATATCACCAACACAATCAGGCTTTGTTAAAGGAAGGAACATTATAGAGAATATCTTATTGGCGCAGGAAATAATCAGAGACATTAACCGGAGGAACAAAAATATTAATGTGGTTGTCAAGTTGGATATGGCCAAAGCATATGACAGAGTTTCTTGGATCTTTCTAACGAAAGTTCTGAGAAAATTTGGCTTTGCAGAGGCAATCATTGATATGATATGGAGAATCATGTCCAACAATTGGTACTCAGTATTAATAAACGGTAAAGCACATGGATTTTTCCAGTCCTCGAGAGGACTGAAGCAGGGTGATCCATTATAACAAACCCTGTTTATTATTGCAGCAGAGGTATTAGCCAGAGGGTTAAATAATTTACACAGGGATGATAGCGTGAAGGGTTATGGCCTTCCCAAATGGAGTCCGGAGATAAATCATTTGTCTTATGCAGATGATACTATTCTATTTGGCTCAGGAGACAGAGGTTCAATTATTAAAATGATAAAGGTGTTAAGAGA